CTATAACTTTTTAGGCTGGATTTTATTCCATATTTTTTATAGAAATTATTGTTTGCATCGAAAGATGATACAACATCACAGGGATGAAGCATGCTGTTTGACATGTGAAAGGAATAGATTTAAAAGAAATTACCAAAAAAACGTTCTTATTAAGTAGATTATTATTATTTTTGGTTTAAATGTGAAGAGGATTCAAATTCCATAAATAAGATTCTCTTCCCATTTATCCTTTCTCACAGACATGTGGAGTACTTATAAACGTACAGTTTTTAAAAGGTAGGAATTTAAGCTTTTATATATTGACCATGTAAAATATATTGATGCATGTAACATGTGAGTGAACATATACCTATGAATCATTATAACTTATTTATTAATAGCTTGAAAATAAGTTATAATTAATAATGTTAACGTAATACTATATATTATTATTTTTTAAATTATATTGATAGTGTATGCAATCTTTCGTCGTTTCAAAGTCACCAAATCAACAATTTCCCATCAAACATTTCTATAAACTATGTTTTTCAGTATTAGAAAACACGGAATTAGCGACAGATAAAATTTCATAGCTAAACAACAAAAATCTTATGTTAATCCCATTTAGCAATGAATTATAAAAAAAAAAAATCTAATAAGCTAGGAGTTATTTAGCGACAAATTATATAAGAAAATCTAATTAGCTTGGAGCTATTTAAGGACGGATTAACTGAGGATTAAATTACGAATAAATTTAATAGCTAATTTCATATTTTCTAGTAATATTTGATCCAACAATCACTCAATCACTTCTTTTTTTTTTTAATGTTCAGAGGCTTAAGTAGTACTGTTTAATCTGCCAGAGCCCAGCGGTTCCAACTGATGGAGGAACCTGTATTTTATGGTATTTAATTAAAGTCTTATCAATTTAATTATTAATTTCACACATATTTAATTAGGTTGTGAAGTTTGTTCTGGTTTGTTATTTCCCTACCACCTGCCTAGCTAACCCCGTGCATTAATTTCTGAAAAATGTGTTTTAATTTGACCTGTCTCGTTTAAATCTTGTCCTGACTAATCCGTCCCGTTAAATCCTGTCTTGTTCTGCTTCATTGTCATCTTGAGCATGTACGTAATACAACTTACTCTACTATAGCTTAAAATTATGATTTTATTAGTATATGATGTGATTTAATATTATATATACTATTATTACTAAATAAAAGTTATTTTTTATTAATCTCCAATCCAAATGTAAGGTTTGGGATCATATAAATGTAACACGTGTTGATGTTGCTGAGGAAAGTACAATTTTATGTCATTTTATTCTCCTATCCCACTAGATTATATGTATTATCGGTTGCTACTTAAAGTCTCAGAATAAATACTGCAATAATCGATCAATGGATATTATAATTAGTACTCAACCTCACGTTGGTATTATAAGTGCCCACCACACGTTTAATAGAATAATAACTTTGCATATGCTTTTTATCTTTAATTTCTTCTGTTTTTATTTCAATACGAATATTTTCATCTTCAAAAATAATCTGTTCAATAATTGACATTTTCACTACTCACAAAAATAAATTATAAGTCCAATTGAAATGTAAATAAAATGAGACGGGCAAATTTTGACTTGTTAAAATTTTAACCTATATATCTTATTTCGTTTATCTATTTTTAGTTTTAACTTTACCCTATTTAACGTTTCTTTGTCTCATTGTCATCTCTAAGTCGAATGAAACGGGTACGAGACGTACGACATGGGAATTATTTCAGCCCATCAACAATTACTACCTTTTGGCTGCTACAATAAATAATTAGCATACCATATATAAGTTGAGTGGATTTTTATATTAGTACTCCCTCCGTTCTATTTTATGTGGCAATATTTGATTGGGGCACGGAGTTTAAGAAATAAATGAAGACTTTGAAATGTTTATCAAATTGCCCTTTAAAAAGTAGACTCACTTTTCTCTCTCCTCATAAATGTATTAGAGTATTATTTTAAGATTAAGTGGGACCAACAAGGGTAAAAAAGGAATTGTACCTTTAAATACTTACCATATAAGGAAATATGACATTCTTTTTGGGACTGACCAAAAAGAAAATGGTGCCACATAAAATGGGACGGAGGGAGTAATATTTTTCATCCTATACTATAAGTGAATATTTTCAAACTTGGTTACCAGGCTCCTAAATAAGACTTTAAGCTATATTTTAGTTGCACTACTTATTTCTTTGGCCTAACAATTTAGACTGAAACGTAAATATCTTGGAATTCAACTATTTTTAAAATACATACTGTTTTAAAAAAATAAGTTTATCATTTAATGGTGATTCACGATCTATCGTGAAAGAATTTTATAGTTTCGTTTTATAAAGTTTCATTTTTGCTTGTGGAAATAGTGAGATCCTTGCAAGTTGCAACGTGGTTTTTTTTTTATAACCGTAGTGTTTGGATTATTAGATATATGTATATCTAAATTAGTTTCACGGAGTATTTGTCATCTCTCACTAGTAATAGATATCAAGTTATTTTATTCACCAAGATTATGACATTGAAAAAAAAATCACCTAATTATAACAAACTTTTATAAAATTATAGTATAATTGTATAAAGTTATCGTACCTTACCTTTGAGTTTTGTCATTATACTTCAATTATCATACCTTTTAATTCTATTATTAAGTTTAGTTTTCGCTTGTGGGAGTGGTGAGATCTATGCAAAAATCTTTTGATAGCAGATCATGTCGCACTTTGAATCTACCTAAATTAATAATTAAACATGTGAACTTTGAAATTAATCTGGTGGCTTTATCAAGAGTTCTAATTGGGACCTTACTATTAAATAGTCGATAAAAACAACTGTTAACTTTAAAAAATCAATAAGAGTAGATCTTTTGTTTAGTATTTTCTTCGATTCAATGCAAAAAAAAAGAAAAAAAGTCGGAGTCTCACTTTGTAGGACGGGTACATGAATTCTTTATATAAGTTTGGACAATCTTCTTTCATGTGTTAATTTTTGAGATTGATTCAGATCCACGATTCATTTCTTAAATTTGATATCAAAATCAGGATCATCTCAATTTATTATTTGCAATATAATAAGCCCCCCATTTTATATAGTCACAAGTTTTATCCAGCCATCCACCTTCACCAGTACTTGACATGTTTTTAAAATATAAAAGTCATGCCACTATATTCTCATGATTTAAGTAATTTGTTTAGTTTAATATAACATCATAGCTGACAGAGGTTTAAGTATGAGCCTCATTACCATAAATAAAAAATTACAATGGTTCTCATCATTTAAATATATTTAGCAATAAATTAAGCAATTACTCATATATACATAGTGACTTTTAGAATTAATGTAGTAACAAACACCATAATAACTGCAACTATTTCAATCCATTTTTATTGCTCCCAATATTAATTCAATCAGTCAATCCCTTATCAAGTAATTATTTAATTAAATTGAAAAATGATTTTGAACTAGTAGTTAATGTTAGTAGAGCAGGAAAAAACAGAATTTTTTGTTTTTTCTAGTCCACAGACTTTACGTGACCAAAAAAATAAGGCGGCACAAAGATTAGTTTCAATTAATGCAGAGTAATCAAATATTATTGCTAATACATCCTTGGTAATCTTTGTTTAATACTTATACAACAATAATATAATTAATATAATGGGCAAGTTAGTCCACTCTGAAGTCTGAGTTTTTCTCTATAAATAGAGAAATAGAGGCAAAGACTCTAAATCATCATTACATTGATCATTTCATCTAATTCTTCTTTCTCATTTGCTTTATTGGGTTGAAAGGAGCTTCTTAATACTAGTAATTAAGAACTCTAATCCTTTTTTTTTCAAAGAAAAAAAAACTAGTAATCCATATTTGAATGGCCATCAATTTACAGAACCGTGGACTCGTTAGCTTGAGGAAGGGATTTTTGAACCATATTAATCGAAGTTCTACTAACTCGACTATCCTATCTACCAGGTACAGTTTTGGCTCGGATCCTGTATATGTATTAAAAAATCACTAGATAAGTAGTACTTAATTGTGGTAAAGTTCAAATCCTTGATCTGCCTCTCGTGTATAGGTAGTTTCTGTTATCCTTATTTATATGTGTGTTTTGTGTGCAGGAGGGCAGTGCACGCATCAGTATACGATAAGAATCTGGAGGAATCTGTGCAGCCTTTTGTGGTGCCAGATGAAGTGATCAAGGCAAAATCAGACAAGTACTGGACTCCTCATCCTCATACTGGTGTGTTTGGACCAGCCACTGATCATCATCATATCAGTATCAGGCCTGCGAGTGCTAGTGTAGATTCTGTGTTGGAACAGAAGGCCTTCTTCCGTCCACTCGAGGATCTTGAGAAGCCAGCCTATGTTTAAGTTCTTTGAATATGTAACATTTTGAGTTGAAACTGTAGTAAGGACTGCAGAATAACTGCACTGCTATCAAAATGTTTATGAGTCTTTTGTATTATAGTAATATAAATAAACCTTTTACATTCTATCAAGTTCGCTCTGTGTTGGGGAAGGAAAGTTGTACCATCCAAATTCTCCCAAAGAATATTTGCTGAAAATTTGATAAAAACTGAAAATTAATATTGGAACTCTATTGAATTGTTTGAAGGGCAAGTAAAAGCAGAAAGAACTTGACAGATTTAAGAACTTCAGAGAAATGTAATGGAACTAGAGGTGTCAAATTGAGCTGAATTTGGGCGGATCAAATTGGGATGAACTTATTGGGATGGTTGGGTTTGATTTGGCCACTCCTAAATGGAACCCGTAGATTTTCAAAAGTTGGAAACTGTGAATAGAGTTGACAAAGGAAAACACAAGGGACACATTATTAATACTCTCTGCCAGTTTTAAACTTCACATTTCTTACATTGGTTTGGGGAGGACCAAAGAAGCGCTACTATTTAAAACATCTGGAATTTAAAAAGAAAACTTCACAAGGAAATGCTAAACAAATTTGGGAGTAAGAAATGTATATGCATCTTTATTCAGGGAGTAGAACCCTCCAAAGGTTTCACAATGATACAATATTCTTATGTTGAAGAACCTTTGCTTTTTATCTTTTTACACATGCTTTTTGTCACTATAGGTGACCAAGAAAAATTATCGCAGCAACTTAAGCAAACAAATAGCTCCTCCATTTACACGAACTTCACCAACGAACGAATACAGGAAAATGAACCGAAGTATCTCTTTTTACACAATAAATACAGCAGTTGTCTGGTTCATGAGCATTTTGAGCTGAATAGACTTTACAGAAATTCAATCACTCTCACAATATATAGTGTCCCTCACAATTCACCGAATACGGTTAAGGTGAGCAAATGGCTCAGGGTTTGCCTTTGGCGCAGGCTTTGCAACTTCAGGAGTACCAAATACATTCCAAAATCTAAGAGTTTCATCCCCAGCTGCAGATGCCACCGTGCAACCATCTGGACTCTGCAACAAATTAAACCAGAAAATTAGTTCCTTTCTTTCTTGTGTACTGCAAAAAATGCAACAAAATTACTTAAGAATCATTTACCTGTGCCATGAAAAGAACTCTGGATGTGTGACCAGTAAGCTCGGCTGTCTTTACCATGGAAGGGTATTTCCAAAGAGTGAGCTGATTCTTTGTGAAACCATGTGAACTTAGGAGCTCACGTTCGTTCTTGTTCCATAGCAGGGCACAAACCTGAGAGCCCGTATCGATAGAGTTCAAGCAAGCACCAGTATGGGTGTTCCAGAACTTAATGGACCTATCACCTCCACCACCACCAGAGGCTAGTAAGTTACTCTGGAAAGGACACCAAGCAAGGGCCTTAACAGCAGCTGTATGATCTTCAAGCCTGTGAAGCCACTCTGTTGATGTGTTGGAAGAAGCCATTGATCTGTCCCATATATGGAGGAGATTATCATTTCCACCACTAGCTAGTTGTTGGCCAGAGGCTGACCATTTTAAACCACAAACTTCTTGGTGATGTCCTTGGTATGTATCCACAATTGGCGATCGCACCCTCACATCATTGTTTATGATCTGACCATCCATGCCCCCAGTTGTCAATACGTGATTGTTCCAATCTAGAGCGCCAACTCGGGATCTGTGACCACCTCTCATAGTTCTCAGCTGCACCAATGTATAAAACCATATATTAGCATAAAAATCACTCAAAATAAACAACATGAACAGAAAAGTTCAAGAAACAAACCAGCCGATTTGCCGTTGTATCCCAGAGCTGAACATCAGAATTGTTCAGACCAAGAGCAATATGTCTACCATCAGGAGCCCATTTAACACTTGTAACAGGACCATGCTCTTCATCAACGGTGACCAATTCTGAAGTGGCACCATCAGATGCATCCCACAGATATACAGTGCTGCCTAGAGCAATAGAAAGAACATTGCTGCTGCCCCAATCTAACAAATTCAAATAGTAGTCATCCACTAGATCTGGAGCATCTAATGTCCTTTCAGAGGTCTGCAAAAGTAAACCGATGAAACTGATAAGGACGGGATTCAGTTACATTTACTAGTACAGCAATATGCCTAAATCTAGTGATACTCAGCACAATTGGTACAATAATTCATGAAATGTAATACTAACATTGGACAATGTAAGTAAACTCACCTGAGGAATGTATCGACGGGGTTTAGCAGTCTTCGCCTGTTGGTGAACAGATGATGAGAAGTCGTTTGGAATAGCCTCAACAGAAGTGGGTGGCTTGTTCTTGAACGCCAATATTCGGGTCCTGTTCATGTTGAATGTTTCCGCAAGCTGCTTCCTGTATGCTTCTCTGGAGGGAGAATCAACAGCTGGATTTTCCTTACCTTTCCTTCCCTCTGTCAACATGTAATGTGCATAGTCCATATCCATTGCCGATCGATTAGGAATGAACCTATCCAACTGTAGTAACACAAATCAACAATCAATGTCTATGCCAAAGCCCTCCTCTTCTAAGAACTCACATAAAACAAGTCGAAGTAACCTCAATTTATTCTACAAAATCATAGCCAACCCCAGATGACAAAGTGATGAAAAATCATCTCCCTTTTGACCATTTTCTTAAGTTCAAAATTCAATTTACCATCTTGTAACACAAATTGTGCCAAAAAAAGGAAACAAGTGGTACTTTTTATAGACAATAACGGGTGGTACATAGATCAACAATGAACCTAACCAACTCTAATAACCCAAATCAGCAATCAATATCTATGTTAAGGCCCTCCTCTTTAGAACTCACATAAAACAACAACATACCTACAGAAGTGGGGTTTGGGGAGGTTAGAGTGCATATAAACCTGACCCTACCCTACCTACCAGAGGTAGAGAGGTAGTTTCGGAAAGACACTCGGCTAGAGTAACAAATATCAAAGACTCACATAAAACAAGTCTAAACATAAAGCCTCAAATTTGTTCTATAAAAATTAAACCCAACCCCAGATGACACAAAGTAAATTAAAACCCATCTCCCTTTTAGCCTATTTTCTTAATTTCAAAATCCAAATTATCATCGGTGTAACACAAATAGTGCCACTAACTGAAACAATTAGTAATTTCTAGAGACAATAATCGGAAGCAAGTAGAAGGGAAAACATACATTTTCCCGAGAATTCCTCTTTTGTAAATATTGTTCCTGGAGAGGGCAACGAGATTTGGTCTTACTTGCTGAGACAGAACTCAATGATCCTGCATCCATGGTGTTAGCACAAAAAAAAAGAGATACAAAAACAGAGATTTCAATAAACAAAGAAACAAGATTATTAAAGCCTGCAAAACAAAAATCAGGGTTATAATAATAATAATATTGCAGCACAAATTAAAGCAAGTAAGATGGAAGTGCGCTTGCGGGTTCGCTTAAGAAGAGAGAGAAGAAGAAGATGGAGGGACCCGAGTTGTGTCCTGCAAACAAATATGATTAAAATTATTGCTTCATGGGAACTGCTCAAGAGTTTATGTAATGGTATGTTGGGTTTTGTCCGACTTGTTCTGTTTTTGTTTTTTTTTTTTATCCAACGACTAGTCGCCGCCACGAGGATTTTAGGGTTCCAACGGCTATATTCCTCACGCAAGTAAAGCAAATTGTGTGACCTTACTCTTTTTGTTTGACAAATTAGAGTACTCAAATTTTAATACAAATTAAAGTAAAAACAACAACAATTTATTTGGACATATTTTGCTCTAGGGAAGAGATGATTAAAATACTCGTCTTATGTAATTCCAAAGGAATGTTTATGTGATGGTGATTAGATGATTAAGATTGTTTTGTCCTAGATTAAAAATTTAAGATTCGAGTTCTAAGAATTTGAAACTAATTTCTTTACCTTGTTAGTAAGCTTTAGGCGCAACACAAATTTGAATTAGTTAAGACAGATATAACAAAAAAATAGCACCACTTATTAAGATGTGTTGATTAGAACTAACATACTCATTTATCTAAGGGACAGATCAAGTTCAACATTAAAATGCAAGCTTTATGGCCACATGTGCATTAGATAATTACAAGGAATCAGAGATTTTTTTATTTTATTTTTTAACTTCCTTTTGAAACGAAATTTGTAAGCAATAAAACGAAGTTGCTCCAACCAAGTAAAACTTGAAACTCGTCCACCAACACATTGATGAACACAAGTCTTAGTTCGAAAAATACTTGCATACTCCTAGTTACAATTATAAACAATTTAACCAGTCGAAATTCGAAATGTTTCATATCACTTCACTATGATTAAATGACAAAAAAATTATATGCATTCTTTTACTTGAAATAGACTTCGAGCATGTGTAGAATTTTCTCTGCCTCAGAGATGCAGCTGAGTCTGATGAAAGTTCACTAATGGGATGGGGCGAGCACCAGAAATTTATGTTTGTTTTCACGATGGGAAGGTTCAGATGAAAGCCACAAGTTTATGGCACCAACTCATACATAGATAGCTAAAGTTAGTACAATTTACATACATAATGTCATATTTATATAGAGCCTACTATCTGTCTAACCCACCTTCAGCTTTTCACACTTCCACGCCTTGAGAAAAAAACAAAAGAAAAAAAAATTACTTATGAAAAAGACCATGTACAACTGTAATACCATCCTAAGCAATGTCCTATGGTATGCCTTGCCTGCTTTACCTTCACAATCAAGCTGCTCAGATACATATGGGGGCTGCCTTTGCCTCGACCAAAAAAGATAACCAAGAAATTGTCTCCTAGCTGGTGCAGTATTATTATATCTCGCCAAACTTTTACAAGCCACTACGTTATTGTCTGTGTTGATGTCCTTCAGCCCCAGTAGAAATGATTATTGATGACGGCCCATCAACTCCTCACTTAGCCTACTGAACACTAGCTTAACTGGAATACAAGCAATGGCTGTTGGCAGTGTCTCTCGTTTGATTGCCCCATCCACTTGATGACTGTTGGAACTACCCTTCTGATCACTACGTTTCTGCTGCAAGGCTATAGATTTAAGTGTTCTTACCTTTTGATGGGAAGATAAATTAATCTTTTTCCCGGACTTTCTTGCAAATGTTCTCTCTATGGCAGGCTGGGAAGTTGTCCTTGTCATGCCTCCCTTTTGAACAATGCCGCCTACACTAGCTTTTTTGACATTTTTGTTGCGCTCAAAACCTTGGACGTGCTTGATTCCTTTAGAATTATCCAACCCTGATGATGCATGGGACCGTGGAACACGAACATTTGCAGTCCTGCGAGCAGTCCTCCAAATAGGTTGGAGTGCAGTATCATTATCAGATGATTCTGGAAAATTGCACTCAGTTGCCCAAAGGAGGCTATCAGAAGAACTGTTTGAAAGCACTTCGATTTGGACAGGATATCCAACTATTGCCTGCCCATTTATCTTACTCGTTAATGAAATCATAGGTATGTGCTCTCTCTGAAAACTTGATTGGACTTTTAAGTCCACATTGACCAGCATGGTCCTGCCACCAGAGTGATGGTAGCTATTCACAGAATCAAAATTCTCAGCGGACTCCTCCCAGTAACCTCTGCTTGCAGGATCATCCCAAGCCCAATCCACACAATTGAACATGTTTTGACTAGCAGTACGTGGAGCTCTAGATCCATATCCAGCCTTTTGCGCCCAAGAGTTCGTAAGGTGGTCATCTTGAAGACATACATAACCCCTCTTTCCCTTGAAATTAGTCATATGACAGGGCCTTCTCGCAAGGTTTCCATCAAAAAGATCCAGAGGCCTCCTGTTAAGACTTCGATTATTCCTTTTCCCTTTTAGTTGCCATTTAGACACCCCAAAGCCAGCAGAAAGAGATTCCTGGTGATAAGCATGAGAAGAAGTGTCATCAGTAAGTGTCACTTCATCCAGTTCTTCACTGCTGATACTTCCACGTTCAGGTTGTGCTTCAGATCTTCCTATATATTTTGGTTCTAGTTCTATAGATGCCGCACCATCTGCATTAGCAACAAGCTAAGTTAGCCTACTTAAGCAGATCATTGTCTTATCTTCTCTGTTTAAAGGAGCAATGTCTATGGAAGAACTGATTCATGATGTCAAGAGAAATGATTAATAAAAGAGTTATAAGGAACTATGCACTCACAATCAGAATTTTTTGAATCTGCATTCACAATCAGAATTAGACATAGATCTGCAGTTTAGATGCCAAAAAAAAAGTGCAATTCCAGAGAACCAATTCACTAGAGTTCCTTTTTCTTTGATAATTAGAAAGAATACCGACTTGGTATTATGGAAGAGATATCAAGAAATTAAATTAACTTATGATCATGTCTACTAGTCGTCACTCGAATGTGATTTTCCTTTGGAATTGCTAAAGTTCTTTGATTTAGAACCTGATTACATCGAAACAAACTCTACAACGCACCAAATTAGCAACAAAATCCAACTCAGAACAAAGCAAGTAATAGTTTTCCTTGCTAAAAGTACAACACCTCGCTCCTCTGTACTGTTTTGTCCTTTTCGTTTTTTGGACTAGTCTTAGTCCTTCATTAAAAAAATTGAAGTGAATAATACATCAGTCAGGAGAAACAAATATTAAAATGAGACATAAATAGGTGGTATATAGGTGAGGTGCATGTAAGCTAACTCGGACACCTACGCTATCAAAAGGGGAGGGGGGATTAGGAGACATTTTTCAACCTCTTGAGACTTTTTTGAGAACAGGGGACCTAAGCATTTGTTTTGAATGCTTCCAGTTTCCTTTCAAGTTTCAACTGAAAGTACTAGTAATCTAGAACATCAAAACTCCAACCATGAGAGGGTATTTAAGACCAAATACCAAATTCTTTCTTTTGACTTAATAAGAAAAAAAAATCCACTGCAGCAAGTTTCTACGATAGCCATGGAAGTTCTTAACTGAACTTCGACATGCTAGGAGCCTAGACTACTTTGAACTTGCTCACAGGTGATACAGAATGTTGGTGAAGTAACCAGTTACAGCCACTTTCTGATAGCTTCAGCCCTAAAAGTCCCAATACAAACTTAGAGGACTGAACAAGGTAGCCATGGCATACCATGTGTACGCGAGAAGGAGAACCACGGAATGAATTGGTTCACATGGGGATAGTAGAACACACAAGGTGACTCAAGCATAGAGAGTGAGGGATTGGAATAACTAAGTTTATCCAATCAGGTCCAAAGATCTCAAAGTTCCAAAGTATAGAGGCATTATAGCGTAGCCACAAAAGATTTTGTACTTTGATGCTGCTTCGTTTTGTCGAGAAAAAGAATGTACATGTAAGGTGGCTTGTGCAAGAGTGAGAAGGGAGAAACCTGAGATTGTGGCCAACTCGTCATCAGTATCTTCCGCAGAATCTGTCTCAGAAGAATCACTTCCAGTATATTCTGCAGACCCAGAAGCATTCTGTTCACATAAATCAGCAGGATCAGAACCATTATCTTCACGCTTCAATGTTGAAAGTTCCATCTGTGCATGATTATTCTCTTCAACAGTCAAAGATTCTGTAGGTTCTTCGGCCAAATCACACCTGCTTTTCTTTGAAACTCCTGGCTGCTCCTCTCCCATCTCAGAGATGCAAACAGAACCAGAGTCAGGCAAATTTTCAGAACTCTTCAAACCTTGAGCAAGAAGGCAGCCCCTATTACGCCTCTTGACAAGATTTTTTTCAGCTAAGCCTTCATCTGATAATTTCCTTTTGACTGACAAACTTTTTCTCTCAATATTAACTAGGTGTTCTGAATTATAAATCCCATCAGGAACAGCATGCTCTGAAGGAACAGTACTGAGGCCCAAATCCTGTAAACCTCTCATCCTCAGAGGTACATCGGAATTCTCATCGTCCCCACTAAACTGATTATGATCATTGGATTCCTGTATAGAAGATAAGTTGCATGTTTTCTTTTCCTCAAGGAAGAAATCAGATTTATGAGAAATTTTATGAGATTTAGATCTTAAACGTCTCCCATTCCTATTTTCCAAGTATTTTGATGATGTTTGTGACTCTCTTCCGGAAAAATCATAAGTAGATTTATTGGTTCTATCAGTGGACGAACAACCTAAACTTCCACATCTTTTACCTAACTGCCTCTCAAGTTCAAGAGCATGAAGTATTGCATCTTCACGTCGTGCATACTTCTCTCTTTTCTTCGGAGGCAGACCTAGGGAAGCTTCTGCCCGTTGAATAAAATCATCAAATTCGCCACACCTGAATGCTTTCACTCGCTTTGACTTCTCCAAATTATACCAATCCCTGGTAAGATACACACAGAGAAACACCATAACATACCATACTAAGACTATGAAGTGTCTGCACCTAGTAAACAAAGTTTAATTAAGACAGGTGGCATAGACTTATGAAGATACAATATTCCACCAGCTAGAAGTAGCATTTCTATTTATCAAGAATGAGAGAGATACGAGCAGCACTTAGCAAGAAATAGAATCAAGCATCTTTTGCTTCTTCA